AAATAATAAAGAATAAAAAAAAGTGAAGAACAAAATAAAAAAAACTACTAAGAAGATCTAAACCTCCGAGGTGTCGAATCGGGTTTATGCCTTAGCGTAGTAATAAAAAAATAAATAAAAAAAATAAAAAAATAAAAAAAGATACAAAAAACAAAACAGCAAAAACAGAGTTAACTAGTAAGTAAGTTTCTAACATTCCATGTCTTAACTGTCAATACAATACAATAATTTTAAATGTAAATACTAACAATATCTTTTGTAAAGAGAGAACTCAAAACAAATTGACTTTCCAGTTGGTTGTCAAAACCAGTGCCAATAAAACACACACACACACACACACACACACACATACACACACACACACACACACACACACACACACACCACACACACACACACACACACACACACACACACACCACACACACACACACACACACACACACACACACACACACACACACACACACACACACACACACACACACACACACACACCACACACACACACACACACACACACACACCACACACACACACACACACACACACACACACACACACACACACACACACACACACACACACACACACACACACACACACACACACACAACACACACACACACACACACACACACACACACACACACACACACACACACACACACACACACACACACACACACACACACACCACACACACACACACACACACACACACACACACACACACACACACACCACACACACACACACACACACACACACACACACACACCACACACACACACACACACACACACACACACACACACACACACACACACACACACACACACACACACACACACACACAACACACACACACACACACACACACACACACACACACACACACACACACACACACACACACACACACACACACACACACACACACACACACACACACACACACACACACACAACACACACACACACACACACACACACACACAACACACACACACACAACACACACACACACACACACACACACACACACACACACACACACACACACCACACACACACACACACACACACACACACACACACACACACACACACCACACACACACACACACACACACACACACACACACACACCACACACACACACACACACACACACACACACACACACACACACACACACACACACACACACACACACACACACACACACACACACACACACACACACACACACACACACACACACACACACACACACACACACACACACACACACACACACACACACACACACACACACACACACACACACACACACACTCACTAACACACACACACACACACACACACACACAACACACACACACAACACACAAACACACACACACACACACACAACACACACCAACACCAACAACACAACACACACACACACAACACACACAAACACACACATGTATTTAGAGTACCTTATGGCTAGATCACTAAAATATGTATTTAGTTCATTTGTAAATTGTAAATTATAAACGAATTATTTGTTTATAACAAATCTACAATAAATATTTATTTTTGCAAATTTTACTTTTACTTATTATAGGTAAAAAGGCTATAAAATAATTTATAAACTTAAACATTTATGTATTATAGTAATAAATAATATCTTTTAACATAAATTTTGCAAAAATTAACTTTTTATTTGGAAATAAAATCTATCTAAAATTAAATTTTTTTTAAAGTATGCTTATTTTTTTAATATACATTTACATTTTTTTAAAAAAGATTATAAATATATTTTAATAAATTAATTATTATTACTTTGAAATATTCTATAATAATATCTTTTTCCAAGTAATCTGTATTTATCATTAACACATACAACAATTTATTTAAAAATGATATTTTTAACGCTTTTCAGTCAAGAGAATTAATTGTAAAAATAATTAAGTATAATTCAAGAAAAGTTAACTGCATCTTTTCATAACCTTTTCTAGTACTAATAACAGAAAACTAAAATTTTGCAAACTTAATATTACTTTTAAATTGTTTATACATGCTGTGGTTAAATAAACATTTTCAAGGTAATTAAGTTTAAAAAAAATACACTAATTTTCGGTTGACTCGAACTAGAGAAATGTGACTTTTATTTTGAATTTATAAATTAAGTTTTTGAAATAGTAAAATAAAGAAAAAAAAAACGGCTAACTCGGTTTCTAAGGGTCGTAGAACATTGAATTTTGTTTTAAAATTCGCGTCAAAATGCTTTTACACAAAGTAAAATTTCAAAATTTCAAGTAAAAAACCTTCCTATATCTTGATGCGTCGGAGTTATTTTAAATATTTATATGCTCAAAATGACACTACTTTTTTTTATTTTTTTTTTAATTACAAATAAGATGCATTAACCTAAGTGGTTATTATATAAGATATGTTGTGTGGAAACGAGAAGCAAAGACATTGTATCTGACGGGATTTTCGCTATTAGCTGAATCGTTGGCAGCATATGCTAGGCGAAGATATTGTCTTCTTAATTACATAGACATTTCTCCTACTAAACATAGTAGTGTCTCCTACTATCTGTAGGTATGGTACAAAAAGCTCCTAAGGCAATTCTAACAGCAGCATTTTGTATTGTTTACAACTCTTTTAAAAGTGATTGACTGGAGCACGTTAACTTCAACGTGGAGTCATATGTCGCCATGTTACCTAATCCATCGGTAACTCTATAATCCTATATCATTACAACATTATTTTAAAACTAAATGTAATTAAACATATGTAATCGGGTTTTTACCCACATATTTAATCTTGGTGGCTACATTCATGTAATCCTAGACACTGATGATGGAACATGGTTTCCGAAAACGTTTTGTCTTTTTAACTGAGCCCGTTTGGGCCTAAAATATACCTATTAAAAAGGATTTTTAATTAAATTTTTAATACATGGTATACAGCCAACTACAGGAACGTAGATTCCTTGTTAATTTCTGTAAAGTTTTAATTATTCCATGGTGCCAAACTGTATCAAATGCCCTGCTTATATAAAAAAATACCGCTATGCAGCTTTGATTATTTGCTAGCGCTTCATGTATTTTTGACTCGAGGTCAACTAAGTTGTCTAGAGTTAATCTATCTTTACGAAATCCATTTTGTTTGTTAGATAGAACAGATCTATGCTCGAGTATCAAAATAAGGCGTTGGTTAATTAATTTTTCGAGTACTTTGCTCATTGCACATCCTAACGATACTAGACGGTAGTAGTTTGGATTTGAACGTAGTTTACCAGTTTTAAGGATAGGTATTGTGTAAACATTATTCTAAGTCTGTGGAAACACTCCTTCGAGCCATATTTTGTTATATATCTTTAGAATGGGCAGTTCAATTTTTAGGCAACTTTTTAAAGAACATAATAGGAATATCACCTGGACCAGGACCAGAGTTTTTAATAGAATTTATAGATTCGTTTTACTCTTTTTCTAGTATTGGTGCATTTATTGGTAGGTTATCGCTCTTATCATAATTAAATTCTTGTAATTCTTCTTTGGTATTAAATTGTAAAAACTCTTGAGAAGTTTTCATTACTTAAATATGACTCGTAAGGATGAAGCTAATATATTGGCTATTCCAGATCTAGATGTATGAATTTTGTTATTATATTCTAAAAATCTTATTGATGAGTTTGTGTGGCGTCCCGAAATTTTGTTAATTTTATTCCACACTATTGCTGCTGGGGTAAAACTGTTTATTGTTGATAAAAATGTTTTCCACGATTCCTTTTTCGCTTTTTTTACCACTATTCTACTAATAGCCCTTAACTTCTTATATTCTAGAAGATTTTCTTGTGTTTTTTGTTGTTTGTATTTATTGAATGCTCTATGAGTCTTCTTTATAGCATCCTGACAGTGATTGCTCCACCACGGTACTCCGATACGATTTTTTACTATTTTCTTCTTTCCGTTGCTATGATCTGCTGCGGAAAGTATGACGGAGAAAAATTCATTGACTAAGTCGTTTATATTGTCATGCGGGGATGAATCTGAAAAAGAATTCAATTGATTCTCCATAAATTATGTAAATGGTGACCAATCCTCTATCTCTGTATTCCGTCTAGTGTACGATTAAATTTTTTGTTTATTTTCGAAATGTAGCACTATGGAAAAATGATCGCTTTTATACAATTGTTTACTAAACAAGTTATGTTTTATACTAAAGAAGGGTCTACAACGGTCTGTGTCTACAAAGGGTCTACTGAAATAAGCCAATACAACTAGTGTTTCCAATAAAAGAGTTAAATCTTGTCATCGTTAAGTAGGGTAATATTGGTGTTATTAATGACAGTTTCTCTTATGTGTCCTATTTTATTATTTCTATTAGATCCCCGAAGTGAATTGTGCCCATTTAGATCTCCTATTATAACCTTAGGCGATGGAACTTGATCAATGAGTTATCTCTTTTATACGTATATCAGTAGTCAGTGGAAAATAAATGTTACAGATGTTTATAATTTTTGGAGTTTATAATGGTCACTGCTACTGCTTTAAGGTAGGTCTTTAAAGGTATTTGTCTAGATTCCAATGAGTTATTAACATAAATAGAAACCCTTCCACTGGCTTTTTTTAAAATCACGTCTGTTTTTATGATAACCTACAAATGTCTTTAATTTTGCTAATTTTTGGCCAGTAAAATTCGTTTCTTGGAGAATAAAATGTATTTTAATACCTTATCACTACAGATGATTTGTCAAAATAGATCACTTAAAGAAGGCAATCTGCCGAAACTGTTGTAGTGATAAGACATTACAATAAATTTTGTGGAAGTTCTGAAAATAAGGTTTTTACTGTTTTATTGTTATATTTTTAAATATATTTTGTATCTGTTCTTCTTGAACTTCTTGTTATATTGAGTATATTACTTATGACGCTAAAGTCATAATTTTACAATGAAAAATAAAAATTAAATATTTAAATATTAATATGTTTCAGCCTCTGATAATTCCCAAAGTGATAATACTAATGCATTAAGCAGAAATGCATCTTTTAGAGAAATTCAAACTCCAAAGAATTGCTCAGAACATAATGAAGAACATATAAAGGACGTACCTATTGAACTTTTCACAGTGAGCAAGATGGTAATTACTACTAGTAACGTAGATAAGTGTATTGTAGTTCCAAGAGAATAAAACGTAAATTATAAAATAAAAAGTATGATATGACTTTTGTTATTGGTGTCTGGTATTATTTTCTGTCTGTCATCTATACAATATACATGATACTATAATAGAAAGATATGATACCATAGTGTTTCAAATTCATTCAGTTCCGCGCATGCCGTCAAGAGGTGACTATTAATGGCACCAGTTTTAAACAACCAATATTGTAGACTAGAATTTTACGGATTATTTATGTTAAATTTCTTTTTACGAGACGTAATGATAAAATAATGGATGTAAACTTTTGTGAATTATGGATTTATTAAATATAAAATAGGCAAATGTAAAAAATATCTCGCACCCTCAGTGCAAGACTGCAGTAACTCAAAATTTTATGAAAATGAAGTAATCATGGAATTCGATTGTAAACATGCATATCTATCCCCTGTAAAACTTTAGTAACTTTCAAATGCTTAACCGGCTAATTATTACAACAACAACAGTTAAACTATTTTGCGTTTTTGTGCATAAGTTCCGTGCAAAACTGTTGTAAGTCTAATGTAACAGAGTTACAACAGTTCTGCACGGAACATTGCAATGGTTTTGATAACAAGCAATAAATGGCCGAAAAAAGTAAGATATTTGCTATTTTAATATCTACATCTGTGTTGTTTAATTTTAATAGACATAATAGACAGCGTGTCTACGTAATCCATTATCGGCTGAGGCAATAAACAATGATTAACGAGATCAATCTATTCATGTAAGTTTTATGTCCTTTATGTGACATTATATTTTCCATAAAATATATGCGATGTCGTTTGACTATTTATTTATTAGTTTGGATTAAAAACACATGAATTAGGACTAATTATTTACAGAAAAAAAGTATTTTTTATGAATTGAAAAACCGTTATCTTAAAACTTGTGTATTAACAACACGAACAGGTTAAAAATATCTATTTTCAGAAAACTTGTTGTATAAAAACTAAATTAAACTAAAATAACCTTCCATGGTGATTGTCTTATCATATCCCTTCGTAATTTCCAACTTTTACTAAGGTAGTGAATTTCAATCCTTTTGTTAGTCACTGTACTCAAGGTAGCCTGATTTGCATATTGTTAATATAGTCCTTTGGTTTGGAATTTAAATAAAAATATTGAAAGTTAAACAAATAATTTTTCTACCTTATGACACTGTCATTACAAAGTAAAGGAATTGTGGCTATCAGAAACATGTGCAGACATAGAAAGATTAACTCGCCGCTAGCGATAAGCCGTTTTATTAGGTACCTATTTATTCTAGGTAGCTATCTGAGTTCTTAAAATCTATTAAATGTAACGTTTAATACCATACTAAACCCCGATTGCTGTTACGGATTATTTTTTCTTTACTTACCCAATGATTTATTGAAATTTATTAAACGTATATACCGAACCCCGAGAATTACTTTTCTTTTATCTACCAGGTGATTTCTGGGAATCCATTAAATGCAATGTTTAGTACTGTTCCTATCATTGTTGGAGATTACTTTCTCTTTACCTACCCTGATTAACTCATTAGAAACGAGTTTTCAGGGAAGAAGTACAAGTAGGTGCATTTTAGTAATGTAATTTTTAATATAATCTGTTATTAGCCCTTGCAAGTAATAGAAGCCGAATTAACGATTTCGAAAATGTCCAAATTTAATAGTTCCTGAACATTGAGGATTTTTTCCCGGTGTGCGCACACAAGTGAGGATAGCAACATCATGCAGGGTAAGTTAAATTTAAATTAATTGTTGTATGTATTATAATGTACGAGAAGTGCTACTTAAACCTGCCTACAAAGAACAGCCAAAAATTCAAATGGCCAAAAAGAAAGATTTGGTATAGTTATGCCATTCGGGTATGATACCAGAAGCCCACCATAGTTTTATAAAAATATTTTGGCCCAAGATGATATACGAGAAGAGGACAACAACTAACAGAAAATTTGTCTACACTTTTTACAATTTTCTCCGTGCAAAACTGTTGTAACTAAAAAATTCTACTACTAAATGTGTAATGATTAACAATTTTCTCCGTGCAAAAGTGTTGTAACTTTGAAATTCCTAATTTTTTTAGCATTAATAATATTTTATTTAAATTTCTATTTTTGGTTAATGTAATATAGGCTGAAAAGCATGCAAAATCATAACTAGATGGTAATTTTTCTTAAAACTTGTGTCTTATTTCACAGATATTAGCATGAAAATAAAAAAAAATCGTGTTTATCTCGAAACTTACTTATTCTGACTTACTGCAGTCTTGCACTGAGGGTGCGATCTATATTATCATTGTCATTTTTAAATATATAAAAATTCTGGAATACATAGGGAGATATTATCGTATAGATGCAATTGAACTGATTTCTGACAATCTTTTAAAACATTTTTCTGTATCTTCTTTTTCATAACTAATCAAATACCCTTTGATTGCCTTTTTGTCCATTTTCTTTCTTGTTTGCACTGAAACTTGTGCATAACAGGTTACAGCTATGATTCTTGGGTGATTTATTTTAGGTCTCTTACCTATCCATACCTTATGTGGACTTATAAAAACGAGTAAATTTCAAAATAAAGTAAATACTTACCTCCTGTCTAAGATTTAATAGGTTTTTGGGTTAAATAAAAATAGAAAACATTTTTTATTAGCTTTAAATAACAATGTATTTATTTTCTACTTGCAAAACCAGAGAAATATTTGTAGTCGACGTCAAAACATATCGATAGCTAAATGGTAAAAAAGGAGTGAGGAGCACCTAAAAAAATTAGAAAATTCAAAAACTCTTCTTAAAGGGATCTTACGGCTTATCTTAAGATCTGACGAGCTAGTTACATCTATAGCTTCTTCTATTATAGATTTGTTTATTTCCTTCCAATTCAGTATAAACCCTTGGTCGACAAAGTGGTTTCTAATCAACTTTATTAAATGACGCACATCAGCAAAAACAAATATTTTTAGATTATTTGCTGGATTTTTAAACCATGTGTTGGTATGACTAATATTCAGTTCATTATAAAGTGATCTTTTACGGCTTCCCAGGGCACTTACCATGGCTACTAACTGTAAACCTATAAAAATTGTACACAATTTAAAAAAAATAATAATACTTACAAACATCAGAAGACCATACGTATTAATGTGAATGCTAAATTATAATACATGATGATTCAGCATAGTTTATTACTTCAAATATTTTTTCCTTGGAAAGTTTGCAGCCAAAGTCATAAAAGACTGATTACTTTCAAGCTTTGAACAATCCTTTTAATATTGTGACTTGGGCATAACTGTATAGCCTGAGAGTTTCGTCATTTGCCTTATCATATAAATAATTCATTTTTATTTTCATTTCATCAAAGCACATTACACGTATTTATCCATATCTGACGTTTCAGTCAATTTCATAAAGTTGAACACTTTTTAATATTCGTATAACTGCCTTGGATATATATATATATATATAATATATATATATATATATATATATATATATATATATATATATTATATATATATATTCGAATAGCCCAGAGGTAGAAAACGATGTGATTATATCGTTTTCGTTCACTGCCGCCAAAGCAGGTGGCGCCTCTGCTCGCAAACCACTGCAGTGGTGAAGCTTTAGGAGACATTCGTTCTACTTTCCGTGTTTGAATTTGTATCAGTATGTATAATGTATACATATATATATATATATATATATATATATATATATATATATAATATATATATAATATATCTATATATATATACATACATATAATATATATACATACATATATATATATATATATATATATATATATATATAATAATACATATATATATATATATATATATATATATATATATATATATATATATATATGTAAATACTTTTTTCTTTTTGGGTGTGGTAGTCAATAAAAAATAGAGCTTTGCTAAGGCGTACTATTTATTCTGAAATCCGAGCTTTCGGTGGTTATTTGCCACCTTTATCAAGGTCTACAATGAAAATTACTGTGTTATAACATTAGGCTGATGTAATATAAAAGTTATAAAAACTTACCAGAAAGTAAGATTCATAGCATATAAAACACAACGTTAAATAACATAATGTGATCTGAATTATTGAAGCATTAAAATTTTAAAAACTTTAAAATACTTAAAAATTAAAGAACATGTTACAAAGTTTAAAAAGTAAAAAATAAGATGACATGTTTGACAAAAAACAGTCGTCCTTCGCAGGTTTGAATTCAGTCACATCTCACGAACAGAAAGAGGTAGTAGGAGAACTATTGTTGTTTAAATAGTTCGATGTAACTACAAAAACAAACTTTCAAACTGCTGTCTAACAAAATGCCGTTTGTGATTTTAAGTACTACCAACCATGTTACCAACTTAGAATTGGGAGGGAAATTTAAAAAAAAGGTTTTATTATGTCAAAAATAAAAAGAAAATAGTATTTAGTAAGTAGGTTTGAAAAAACAAACAACCAAAACAAAATGAACATCTGAATAATAACTGAAGTTAATCATGATAATTATAGCAATTAATAATGGAATTTACGAAACATAAAGCACTCTGAGATACAGAAAACCCTAGTCAAAAGTCAAAATAAAATTGTAAATTATGATTCAGCATAGTTTATTACTTCAAATATTTTTTCCTTGGAAAGTTTGCAGCCAAAGTCATAAAAGACTGATTACTTTCAAGCTTTGAACAATCCTTTTAATATTGTGACTTGGGCATAACTGTATAGCCTGAGAGTTTCGTCATTTGCCTTATCATATAAATAATTCATTTTTATTTTCATTTCATCAAAGCACATTACACGTATTTATCCATATCTGACGTTTCAGTCAATTTCATAAAGTTGAACACTTTTTAATATTCGTATAACTGCCTTGGATATATATATATATAATATATATATATATATATATATATATATATATATATATATATATATTCGAATAGCCCAGAGGTAGAAAACGATGTGATTATATCGTTTTCGTTCACTGCCGCCAAAGCAGGTGG